TAATAATAATAATAAAAGTAACAACAACAATAATAGTAATATTAAGATTAATAATTAATAATAATAAATAATAGTAATAAAAATATCTAATACAGCAGCAGCAGCAGTAGCAGCAGCAGCAGCAGTAGTAGTAGTAGCATTTATCGTTATGATCATTCATTATAATTAGGTTAACTTTCTCCAGTAACAAAAATACAACGTCGCCAGCCGCTGCCACAACTTCATGATTTTCATCGTCGTCACCGTCTTAATGATAATTTCCATCCTAGGTTCTAGATTGGGTAGGCGTCCGAAAAGGTTGAAGCAGGAGCAAATGCTGAACAACAGTAATAGCAGCAGCAGCAGCAACAACAACAACAACAGCAACAACAGCAGCGCAACTTTGTTTACAACGACATCTAACAACAACAACAAATTAAACAACAACAACAATGACGTCATTAACCATCGCTCAGTCGGCCCGCTTTACAACAAAAACGGCCTACTGAACAAATCAGACGATGGTTATTTACGTTTCGCACAGCACCAACAACAACAATTCCTACAGTTGAAACAACAGCTACAACTGCCAAACAACAACACCACTGGCAACAACAACAATAACAACAACAGCAGCAGCAGCAACAAACCCATCTACATCTCAAATTTCATGACTCCCCAAGCCATAAAGGCGGATCCTGATTTCGTATTATATCCATTTCAGGATCCAATTCCCTGCCCGTCGCAATCCTCATTGTCGTCGTTGTCGTTGTCGTCGTCGACCATATCGTCATCATCATTATCATCATCGTCAGCGTCAGCGTCCACGCTACTGCATCCACAGTATCTGACTACGAACACTTTTCAGTTGAAAGGGTATCAGCTCGGTTTGAACCGACTACCGAATGGTTACAATCCTAAACAAGCTTATCAATCTAACAAGTTTTCACCAACTTCTTCCAACAACAACAACAATGATGATGATGATGATGATATTAACGATGATGATGATCGTTATCGTCGTCTTCGTAATCATCATCATCCTCATCACACTGATAATTTCTCCATGTCCCACCCACATCATCATCTCATTGACCCTTCTATTAATAGCCGGTTTGGGTTTTCCATGGCGAAAGTGAAACAGGAAGTCAATGGTGGACGTGATGATGACGATGATGACGACGCTGCTGATGAGGAGAGGATGAAGATGATGATGATGATGAGAACGAATAACTTGTTAAACAGCTGTCCTCAAGAAGACAGCTGGAGTAGCAGTGAAGGGTTGGTTGATGGGTTGGCTGATTGGTTGATTGATCGGTCGATTGATTGGTTAATAGTTGATTGATTGATTGATTGTTTGATTGTTGATTGGTTGGCTAACTGGTTGCTTGTTGATTGGTTGAATAGTTGGCTAGTTGTTTGTTGGTTGGTTAATTTTTCTTGGTTGGTTGATTTTAGCTGGTTGGTTGCTTGTTGATTGGTTGTTCGTTGATTGGTTGTTCGTTGATTGGCTGATTTTGGTCGGTTGGTTTTTTAGCGGTTAGAGCGGTTTATAACAATTTTTTTAAATCTTTTTTGGTTTTTTGTAACATTTCTTGATCTCCTAATTGTGAACATATGCTTCGTCAGGTTCCAATCTTAAGTTTAACACATGCTATATCACTATCAACGCTTTTCATTCTATTTCTCCAATCAACCACCAATCGATCAATCAACCAATCAATTAACCAATCAATCAACCATTCAGCCAACCAACCAACCAACCAACCAATCACAGTTTTCCGATTCTTCGTGCTTCCATGCCAGCAGCAGCAACATCAGCAACGACATCGACGACTTCTCCGCCATTGCAACAGCAGCAGCAGCAACTGCACAAACAGCTCGAGGAAGGCGAAATAATTTTGCCGCGGAAATACTTTGGCCTAGTGCGTAACAACCGACCGATTAGGATGTCGGGGGATGATGAGGAAGAGGACGACAACAACGTCAACAATAACGTCAGTAACGTTGGCAACAACAATTGTGCAGTCGGGGATGTGCTGGCCGACAAAATGTCGTCCATGGCGGGTTTATATTTGGCGGGAGGGGGCCGAATTGGTGCCAAAAGAGTGGCTGCATCTCGTCTGGAGGTCCCTTTGTCGGCAGCTTTGGGTCCTAACAACATCAACGGCAAGTTTAACTTCGCCAGCGGTGGTTTCATCGTTAAAACTGAGTTGAAGTCGAGCGATGAAGATGAGGATAGCAGCTGCAGCAACAGCCACCACAACAACAACAACATCGACATAACCATGACATGTAACAATGGCGTCAGAGGAAGGATCGCTAGTGACGACAGAGCCAATGAAGAAGAAGATGGTGGTGGTGGTCGTAGAGTCAGCGCTTTCAGATTGATTGATCGCAGTAGAATAAAATGTGAAAATTTTGAAAGCGACCAACTTTCGCCCCAACCACAGCAACAACATCTCTTTCAACAGCTGCAGCTACAACAGCAGTTACAGCAACAACACTTCTTCCAGCAGCAACAACAACAACACCGTAGATCGTCGTCGTCGTCATCATCATCGAATTACTTCTCAACATCTATCAACTTCAAATCAACATCTCGTCATCATAATTATGATGTCACGAACAACAACAACTACTACAACGTTGATCAAGTCAGTTGTGGGGGTCTGACTAAAGGTCTGTTTGACCTTACCCTTGAAAACATCAAAGGAAACATTCCTCAAGAAAAATTGGAACTCATAGATCAAGTGATCCTATTGGCTGTTTTTGTTTCTATTCTTTGATTCTACTGGCTCTCTGTTGGGAAGAAAAATTTTTTCTTTAATGCTATTGGCTAATTAAATTTCATTTAATCTTCTTTTATTGGCTGGATTTGATAGGGTGAACGTCTTTAAACTAATTTGGTTGGCGGAAGTTTTATTAAATTGGTACGATTATTCAGCTGTTCATGATTGGCTGAAAATGCTTTAAAATTAATATAACATCTTGCGTATGATTGGTCGAATATTTCTTCTCCGAAATAATACGATTGGTCGATTTAAAAATTTGAATATTTACTAGGTGATCGAGACGATATTGAACGCGCATTCCCTGACGTGCATGCACACAACCCCCAAGGTTTTGGCGGGAATGAAAAAATTGGAGGAGACGAAAACCATAACGAACGTCTTCGAACCTCTTAGCTATGAGTCGGATGAGGTTGCTGTTTGCTTGTTTGTTGTTGTTCGTGTTTGTTTGTTTGTTCGTGTTTGTTGTTGTTCGTGTTTGTTTGCTGTTGTTTGTGTTTGTTTGATGTTTGTTCGTGTTTGTTTGTTGTTACTCGTGTTTTTTTGTTGTTGTTTGTGTTTGTTTGTTGTTTGTTCGTGTTTGTTCGTGTTTGTTTGTTGTTGTTCGTGTTTGTTTGTTTGTTCATTCGTTTGTTTGTTTGCCTTGCTGCTGTTGTTGTTGTTGTTGATGGTATGATGATGTCATCTTACAGGCCAAAAACATGCTCGTCAACTTCGTAATCGTACCAATCATCTTAGCACTAACATTAATAATAGTAACATTAATAATAATATTGATGTTAATAATAATAATAATAATAATAACGACGACAATCAGAACACCGATATAGACCCGACAAGAGTCTGGAGCAAGTTCGTCGAGAATATGACCCCTGTCATTCAGAGGGTAGTCAAGTTTAGCAAGAAATTACCAGGTTATTATTATTACTATTGTTACTCTTGCCATTGCCCCCTTCATCATCATCATCATCATAATCAATTTAAACATCATCATCATCATTGTCGTCATCATCATCATCATCAATTTTTAAACATCGTCATCATCATCATAATCAATTTAAACATCATCTTCAGCGTCATCATCATCATCATCATCGCCACTAAATCTTCAGGATTCTGCGAGTTGGGACAGGAAGACCAGATATCCCTGATCAAGCAAGGATCATTCGAGGTCATCCTTAGTAGGTTCACGAAGATGTTCTTTAAAGACGCTGTTATTGAGCCAGGAATGACCTCCATAATCCCCAAGTACGTCTGTGTGTGGGTGCGTGTGTGCGTGCGTGTGTGCGTGCGTGTGTGCGTGTGTATTTTAGCGCCTTGCCAGTTTAACTTGACGTCTGTAATTGTATCCAATCTATGATTTATTTTCTATATTTTTTATTGATAATTTTTTAAATTTTTATATTCAATCATTTATCAGTTTATCGTTCGTTTATATGTTCATTGATTTATTCATCCATCAATCCATTCATTCATTCATTAATTCATTCACTCATTCATTAATTCATTCATTCATTATTTTATTCATTCATCTATTCATTCATTAATTCATTCACTCATTCATTCACTCTTTCACTCATCTTCCATTGTTTTCTAACTGATTGCAGTCCATCGATCTTACTCTAGGTACACTCATTCATTCATTCTTCTCTGCTTGTTCGGCCTACATGTAAGTACCTATTTAGCTAGAAGATAGGAAGAAGAAAAAATTGAAAAATAAATATATACAATAAGTATAAAAAGATGAAAAGGGTTTTAGAGAGAGAGGGAGAGAGAGAGAGTGAGAGAGAGAAAGTGAGAGAGAAAAAGTGAGATAGATATAAAAAGAAAGTAAGATGGATCGGTGGAGAGAGAGAGAGAGAGAAAGAAAAAGAGAGAAAGAGAGAGGGAGAAAGACAGGCAGAAGCAGAGAAAAACAGAGCAGTAGATGGACAGAAGGAAAGAAAAAAAGAAATGAAAGGAGAAAGAGAAGCAGAAAGAGTGAGAAAAAGAGAGAAAGAGAAAATATATGTATATATATAAAAGAGGGAGAGAGAGAGGGAGAGAGAGAGAGAGAGAGAAGAAAAATGAGCCAAAAAAACGTTGGATCTCATGAAGAATTCATAAGTTTAAATTAAATTTATATGAAAGTTATCGCAAGCATAAATGCTCTCAAAAATTTTTCATTTTTTTTTATTTTCGTTAATTATTTTGCATATGGTTAGTTTGTTAAATTCATCACAGACACACACGCGCACACGCACTCACACACACACACACACACACACACATACACATATACATGATGCACACTTCAGTTTACGCAAACACACGTTTATACACACAAACATGAAATGAGACATCAAGTCAAATACACGCAGTCACACATACACACTCATCTACACACACACACACACACTTGCACACACACACACACACACAAGCATACGTACCTACTTACACACACACATATTAACATATAATCAAAAGTTACTTTGTAATTTTCTTCATACTTTTTTCCATTTTACGAATATCTGGGTTCACAAATGTGGCTGAACTAAGTAATCAAGCTGTTTGTTTGTCTATATATTTGTTTGTCTATCTTCATGTTTGGATGTATGTGTGTGTATGTATATGAATGTGTGTGTGTGTGTGTGTGCAAGTGTGTACGTGTGAAAGTGTATTTCGTTATTTTAGTACGTTTTTTTTGTTTAATAGGCTTTCATTTTACAAACCTCCTTGATTCAAAAAAATTTTAAAAATCACTCTTGCGTTATAAACGAACGAATGAATGAATGAATGAAAGAATGAAACTGAATGAATTAAAGAACGAACGAATAAGAAACAAAAAAAAAATAAAAATAGTGAGAGAGTGAGATTGAGAGAGTGAAATGAAAAAGTGAGAAAGGACAGAAATGAAGAAAATTAAAAATTTTACACAAAAAAATAGAGCCAACATGGCACTGTAAATAGCTGAGAATAAAAGAGAGAGAGATGGAAAGGAAAGGAGAGGCTGAAAAGATGGAGAGAAAGACACAACAAAGAGAGAGAGAGGAATGAGGTGAGATAGGAAGGCTGAAAAGAGAGAGGGCGAAACATATTTTTATGCACCTAATAAATAATAATAATGAATAATTGAAAAACGTGTAGAAAGAAAGAGAGAGAGAGAAAGAAGAAGAGAGGAGAGAGAGACAGTTGAAGAATGATTGAAAAAAGAAATGTAAGTAGAGGAATTAAGTGAAAGTTAAAGAGAGGTTTTGTGTACGTGCGTTTGTGTGTATATATGTGTGGTGTGCATGTGTGTGTGGTGTGCATGTGTGCGAATGAGGGAAAGAAAATATGGATGAAAAGAAAGATTGCCAAACAGCTAAATAGGTTTGAAGAATTCAAGCTCACATCATTACAAGCAAGGATATAATATACAAATGTATACGAACACATACACACATATCTTCATACAGATACATACAAATATAGATGTACATAGAAAAGTGTACTCATACAAACGTACACACAAAATACATACAACCGCAATGATACGACAGCAAGAAAGAACAAACAAACAATAAAGCAAACAAACAAACAAACGAACAGGAGACAAACCTTTAGCAATAATGAACATCTTTGACTTATTAATAAGTGTCTACATTCATAAAGCATATATATATATATATATATATATATATATATATATAACTGAAAAGTTTAACTAATCTAATATTAGGCAATATATTCAAAGACAACAATTACAATTGCATAATCTTATATTACAGGAATCATACGGTCAACGTGTATGTATGTATGTATATATGTATGTATGTATGTATGTATGTATGTATGTTAAAACCAAAACATGATGAGTGACATTGAACCGTCAAACATCAAGTAACAAATGGATTAACACTTTGATTTGTCGTTAATTGCACATGTCGGCATTCAGTTGGATATTTTCAAGCACACAGACAGGCAGGAACCGCTGCAACAAACACGAAATATGGTTAGTTGCGAAAAACAGTTCCCTGCTGTCGCCTGATCTGACGCTGATCATTTTGCATATTTCCTTAAGAAATTTAAGGGTGTTGGGGTCCATCAGGCCAAGAACCTCGATGCATATTGGCAAGAATTCCATCGAGGGGAGGGCGTTCCCATATTTTTTCATTTTCGCGTCCGCTGCCCTGGCCGCGGCCAAACCGCATTCTTTACTTGTCAGGTTTACGTATCGTTCGGCGAGGGTGCCAGGGACCGTAACATCCCACGCCAAACATCTGCCGGCTCTCCAAGGTATTAGCGTGCATCCGTCCGGTCGCCTACCATCATGCGCAGAAATGCCGGATGGTTCCTTGAGAACCGGGATTGAAGCCTTGGAGAAGAGCCGACAAATGTAATCGTTTAGCGCTGAGTGACGTAGTTGACGGCCCCCACCCAGGCGACAAACCAAACCGTGGTGCCCAAACTCGTCCGCCCCAGCGCCACATCGGCACGTGTATTTATTCTGAATGACCAGGCCAAGTCTGAAGCCAATGGCAAATCTTACAGACTCGTCGTCAAGCCTGGTGTATGTATGTATGTATGTATGTATGTATGTATGTATGTATGTTTGTTTGTTTGTATATAAACATGTATGGTCTGGAGCAAAGTAGAAAGTTATCCTCAATATAGGTCTGGTGGTTTTTAATCAAATGTTATTTACATGCATACACATTACACATACTTGCTTACAGATTACACACATACATACATGCATACATAT